GAATCTCCACCAAGCCACAACGTGGTTGGAGCCACAAGCGGCATTTCTCTGAGTTAGGTCCTGATGGTACCTTCCACAGTACGGCGTTGAAATGGCCCGATCGCTTTCGCTTGAGTGACTTCTACCTGGGAGAAAAACTTCGTCTAGGGAGGCCACCTGCCTTGTATATGGACCTACTGTATAGAAACCAATTCGTACAAATAAAATCGCTATCTAGTCCTTACACTTGACTGTTTCAAAAGCACAAATGACAGAGGGCCTCGCTCCCTCAAAAAAGTATTGAAGTTCGGTCAAATTTTTTCTCATGAGTTGACCGATACTCCAAGGGGAGCTCTTGTGGGTACTGTCTACAACTTCTCTCCCGCTTCCGCCATACGGACTGGATGAACAACGTTGCAACTGGATATGGAGGAGGTGTCTCTAGGTGAATCACTCCCGGAAGCGCCAGTGGCTAGATCCCCAGAAAGGGCAGAACCAGTCGCGCAATCCTATCAATCCAGTAGGGCGGTGAGACTGTGTATGTGGTGGGTTTCTTTCTCTCTTCCCTCCGAGAATTTCTTCCTTCCCAACGCTGTGGTAACCAGGAACCCTATTGTAATCAACTGCAAAGGGGAGGAAAATCCCCTCCATTTGGTCCCACAACCGAGCAATGTTTGCCTACTCCCACAGCTCAGGGTCACACGTTTCGAAAATGACACTGCTCGAGATCCTGAAGCTTAGCTGGGGAATTCCACCACAGTCTTCGTGTAGCCCTGACTTAGCTCTTTCCGATCGCCATCTAAACTAATCCCACAGCGGCCATCTTCTGGGTAAAAAAATACGATTTTTGATAGTACCTCAAAAATGACCCAGCTGCCTTTCTGGGCACAGAACCAAGAAGCTTCTGGAAGCAAGGCAACCACTCATTGCGTGGTGGTTGGCAACGAGTCAAAATTGCTTCTCACAGGAATAAACCTAACTCAATGAATCGTTCATAGGAGCAAATAAGGAGAAATAGGTAGTCTCTCAAAAACGAAATTCAGGCCAACTCTGGATCGATACAGATGTACTACTGTCAGTCAATAGTTCGGTAGGGTTCCCCGCAAGATGCGCGCAGTGGTAAACTGGTACAGTATAAAAGAGGAACGATGAAGTGAATGAATCAATCAGTGGAAAAAGAAACATAAAAGAAGAAAAAAAGGCGATGAAACTACTATCCGGGTCAAAGAGATGATTTTCTGACATCTGGATCCTGTTTATCCTCTGCGAGAGTGGTAAACAAACCTACGATTCAAGAGAATGAACGAATGGAAGAGAACAGTTTGTCAACAACTGTCGGTGTGGGCGACGAATCGGGAGATGTTTTGCCCCTACAACGTGTGTGTCTGTAACCTGTGTCATAACGTTCACTTAGCTAACTGTTTCCATGTAGATGGTCGGTATACTCGCGTTTTCGTATACTCGGTTTGGTGAGCCCTTATGACTCTACCTGTGGCGACTGGGCATCACTAGCCTTTTGACTTCAGCTGCCGAATTGATTTATGTCTGACCGCATAGAGGGTGTAGCGCGACTCTTGGTGCGCGAACAAAATAAATAATGAAATTTCCACTGTACCTATCCAAACTAAGAGCTCGGCCGATGTGCACGCACCACCATAAAACCATTGCTTTCAATAGGAAACGAGCTTGAGTTTGTTCGAGGAGAGCCGGAAGAACTACCTGAACGTTGGGGGTACAGGCGAACATGTAGCACGTCCATTGACACCAACGAAAAATAATAAATGAATTGAAAAACATAAGATTAGTAGCTACCGGTAACACTAAGGGTAAGACTAGGGAAAAATAAGTGGCTTTTCAACCCTGATGGAAAACAGAGAACGTACCTGAAGTATCAGAAGCTCTAAAGAGAGCTCGCTAAGGGGTGTGTCAGCGGATAAGCTCATATTATATGGAAGTAACGACGGATATAACTTTTGCACAATGCATAGAGGAACATAAACGATGAGAAAAATTGTTGTAAAGCATAACGACTAGAATCAGACAATTTAGTGACGCATATTCAAGGATGAATCTCAGTAAGTACAATACTTACCGTTGAAGCGACCAGACGGCGCAAATGACGGGTTACTGGCAGTTCTATCATCTGAAAGCTAGATTGGATAAAAATTCCGAATAAATGAAGTGCAAGAGCTGATCCAGTACGAACTGCAATTTACACGATCTGGAAAAGAAGCCAACGGGCAGCTAACCTCTTGTATAGGATTGAATTCAGGGTCGTTTAGATTCCTCATGAACCATAATACTCCTGGTCGTAGAACTTCACGTAGCAAAAGAACAAATGACGCGAAGTAGAATACATACACCTGAACGTATGAAAAGAAGCTAAGAAGCTATGTTGATGGACAGGGGACAAGCAATTTCACCATTCCAATCATCCAGTGGATGAACACGGACGATGTTGGTGACGCTGCGAACGAGGCAGCTCTTGAAGACAGTGATGCAGAGAAAAGCTTCTAAAATAAGAGTTTACGGGCAAGGACACAGATGCCTCAGAAGCAGTTGACAAAGGAGATAAAAAACTCACTAAGGAGCACAAGTCCATCCAACATCCACAAATTATTGGAAAGAATCCTATTTCAACAAGCACCAGAAGAAAAACTTTTAGTACTAGGAAACAAATGCCAAGCACACGATATACGCTGAAATTAAATCTGTTCACTTGGTTAATTCAATTCTCAAGGTTCTGTCAGGGAAGTATCTTAACTAACCTGTTTAAACGCAGAATTCCAACGAAATAGTATAGTGCCAGCACGGGTAATTACCTGTAGTGACTGCCTAACATATCCCATTAGTATAGCAGCGATTGATGGAAAATAATGGATAGACTGTTGAATACCAACTTTGCTCAAAATGAAGTATCCCAGTTTGTAAGGTGCGAATGCTAAAAAGGATCGATCAATAAGCATTGCCTGCAACAAGGTTTCAGAGTTTTGTACAGACAGAGATTACTTTTGTTCAGACGGTTCCATGCTAGAAGCAGAGGATAGGTATGTTCATCGAACAACAAAAATGTCACCCAAGTTGATTAGCACTTGACGGATCCAAACAACGGGAGGGTGGGGGGGGGGGGAAATGGGGGGCACAAGCCAGCCGAACAGCCCAAAAAGGTGAGCATGAATATGGTATGAGAACGCTTGTGATAAGAATGCCGCACCTTCAGGATAGCACCTGCTAACCAACCCCAAGCTTCTCCCGCTCCAATCATTTCCCTACAGATCTATTTACTGGGTTGCTTAGCTGCAAAGGACTGCGAAGGGAAAAAGACAAATGATATAGCAGTACAAAAATGAATTTTTACATCCGACACTTACCAAACATAATTGTGAATAGAGTGTCCAAAGATATTACCCAAACGACACGTTCCAGAAAAACTAGTGAGCCATCCAATCCAAGCAGCCTTTGCCATGTTAATTCGTCGCCAAGCCTTAAAGATGAAAAATAAATAGCACGCAAAAGACAATTTTCAATGCGAAAGAAATGAGAAGAATGCACCTGTCTAAGTCTCTCCAGTTATCCTCCGCAGGTGGTATTTCTACTCCTGGCTGCGGAGCTGCAGGTTGTGGTTGTATGTGATCTTGAAATATGTTCGAATGGGAAGAACCGACAATTTGAAAAACAGTTTCAGAAAGGATGATCAAGTGGTGTTGGAGCTTACCAGCTAGTTCTGGTTGACCTCGGACGACATTTTCTCTTTCCACAGCTTCGTTAGCTTGCACCTACAACATGCAGAAAGAAATCATCATTCCGAAAAAGTTGATGAAAATTGCGAAAAATATATGGATTTACTAGCAAGCAGAAAGCGCAGTATGCCAACTCTGGTATGAGTTGGAATAGAGATCAAACAATCCAGTAAGAACATCAGAGATTATGCCTTGAGCGGAAAAGCGATAACCTCTTCATGTTCGCCTTCTGTATCCACTTCCACGTGCTCCAGTTCTTCCTCGTCGTAATCCTCATTTTCACCTACATCGACTTCATCCTACAAGATGTCTTTCATAACTAACCAGGAATGCATATTCAACACCAAATGGATATCGTTATGAAGTGGAAGTCAAAAGAGAGAGAAATTTTCCAAATTTTTTACTAGAGGAAAGCACATTTGCACCTATTTCAAATATTCAGAATTACTTGACATGTTCTTGTGATCTGAAGAACAACAATCTAAATATAGGGCAGATGGTTTCATTATCGAGCTACTTGGATCTGCGAAGACAACAAGTCTAAATATAGGCCAGATGGTTTCATTTTATCGAGCTTACTCAATTGCATCGGGCGCAGCAACAGCAGCTTGATGTTAGCCGGCGAGCGGATTGGCCAGTTTACAAAGAATTTCAATCGTTTTAACCTTCTGAGGACCGTCGTCACGCACACCTCTCAATAAGATTCGGCATCCTAACTGTGACTATTATTTATCCAGCTGTAACTCCACATTAGGTTGGCAAAAAACCCGAACAACTATCGATACGGCAAAATCTTCTTCTTCAGAGCCTGAATGACTGAGTGCGAAATTGATCTAAACCCGAGTTTCATCTTTCGGGCTAAAGACGATTCCGTCGGAACGTTAGCCGTTCGAAATCATTGCCGATCTAGGCTGGAGTTACAATTGAATAAATCACCTCAGAATGCACAAATTCTGAGGGACACTTCAGAATTTGTGCAGCAAGCCAAGCACAACAAGTCCTGGCTGAGACTAGCCTACTGAGCCACTTAGGTCTTTCCAGCGACGCACTCGGTCAAAAAGAAGACATCTTACATACATAAATTTGTGAGTAGCATTAGAAAACACATCATATCATATGGTTCCAAAAAAGCTGCACTTGAAAGAGGATCAATCAATAAAATTTTTGAGGGATTAGAAAAACACATTGTATAACTGTTCCAAAAAAGCTGCACTTGAAAGCGATCAAAGAAGAAATCATTTCGTTTTTATTTTTATATTCAGTACCTGTTCGCCTGCATTAGCGGCTCCGTCTCCACGGTTCTCCTGCAGCTCTTGTTCCACCACACCGTTCGGATTAGCGTCTGCTTGCTCTTAAAATAAGAACTGGAGAAAACGCACACAGAAACAAGGAAGTTGCACCATGAATGATTTGCTCTCGTAGCCAAACGAGAGAGATGAACGTGCATATGAATATTATTAGTAAAAAGCAACCCTGAAATGATCAAAAACACTTTAATACTGAATAATTGAGTCGAAAAAAGTATCACCTTGAAAACATCGGGGAAGATGTGTTCAGTCCGGAATATACTAAGAGGGAGAACGAGAATCTCCTGCATAGAGAGATAGAACACAGCGTGGTATATTCTTGCCGCAGTAAGCGGAACTATACCGAGCCACGATACCAGAACCATTGTGTAAACCAGCCACGTTCGCAACATCATTGCTGCATTTACCACAACGCCTAAGGAGAAGCTTTTCTAGAAGCAGCATGGCAATGTAAACTGAAGAAATGGCGACACCTTTGAGTATTTCCACGAGAGGTAATGCTTTGGGCATATCATGCCGATAGATGGGTTGAAATGAATACTTGTAGTTGCACAATTCACAGACTTCTTTTTTACTGAAACAAGTGGAGTAATCAAGACAGTGAGTTTTTTCAAGATACATCAATTATGCTCATGAATAGAAATTATGAAATTCACGTCTACGATGGGTATAGTTTACCTGTATTTCAACCATTCCGTGAGGCACTCCTGATGAACATACTTTATACTTCCGGTACAAAGACATGGGTAGTACAGATGACCATCTTCACCCCGACACACACGACACATATCTGCAGACGATGGTTCTTCAATGACAATTACTCTTGAAATAGCCATGAAATATGGAGCCTACATAAGTGAAGGGAGGAGGCACTCAACCGCGCCTCTGTGCCCCTTTCCATGATAAAGGCTTCGGCGTAGAAAGCAGACGATCAGTCGCTGAATGACAGTCTAGCAAATAAGGGTTTCGCACATACTCTGTGTCGATGTTTCGAGCGTACGCGAGCGTTTTCAGCGACTACCTGCCAACAGCTCAAAACTGCCCACGAAAACGCCGAGAACGCTAGTGCAACTTCAGTGTGGTTGAGCGAAAAATACTAGCTCGACCCCCCTGGCGTTCTTCTCTAGGGCGGGTCCAGCGATCGATAGGCATCTATTGCTTTTCGCCGAACCGCCGAAACGCCGCGGCGTTCCTCCAGGGTTGGCGATTCTTCGGTCAATACGTATTTTTTGCTTTTCGCCGAACCGCTGTTTCGTCATGGTCGCAGACCGTGAACAATGCCTAACACGTTCGAGGCGCATGAACTCCCGGGAGTACAGGCTGGTTTTTTGTTTTTTTTTTCTTTTTTGATAACTATCAGATACTAATAGTAAGCAAACAATATAGAAGTTATATTAACAAGTCCGTTTACTTATCACACACTAGTCGGGATCGCCCGGCTGACGCCGAGCTCTCCGCCTTTTCATTAACTCCGGCTAGCGAGCTGGCCTAGGGCTTCGCCAGGGCGCCTATCACATGAGGAAACGAACTCTTTAATCGCTGGGTTGCTCATCACGCGCTTGTATCGGTCGAATCATAACAGACAGAGCAACCTGCGGAACCTGCACTCCTCAGCAAACGCTTATACTTGCGGTCCGCGCCATACCGCCCATACAACAATATAACTTGTAGATACAGATCTATAGACCTACAGATCAATACAGCGCTTGCTGAAGTATAAATAATTGTCGGTACTATACTCCCTTATTATTCGTTCTTATCAGTAATTGAAAATTCGAAAGAAAAAACTCTCAAAATTTTCCTGACTTTCCTGTTTCAGGCGTACTACATACCCCCCCCCCAAGGAGAAGAAAACTGGCACCAGACATAGGATTTGACACTTTCAGATATTTATCGCGTTCCAAGAGATCGGCACTCGGCACTCGCACAGTCTCTTATTGATAAAAACCTGTAGAAGGAAAAAATGTTCAGTAAATAATAAATGAAAACAACATAGTGAGTTCGAGGCGAAATTCTGCCGCGCTGCTCGACAAACGGGAGTTTTTGGCGAAATGGCGTCGCCGCGAACGTGTTAAATCTATGTCTTCACTTTTCTGAACGCTGGCACATGCTTGAAATACAGACTAAAAGTATGATCACAGCCTCGGACAGCATCTTTATCAAGCCAAAACCCTGGTTCAGTGGTCACAGATGCTCTGCCGAGTGGCTCCCCTGACTAGGTTAGTGTTCAAAAAACTGTATCTCACGGTGATCATCGGACTCTTCCACAGACTGTGTTGTCTTTGACATCGAACTTGATGGTTCTACATCCGTCGAAGATTTTGCAGAAGATTCAGCTAGATCTTCACTACTCAGTGGCTCCATCGTAATGACTCAGCACATCAAAGTCTAAGGCTGAAAAATTAAATATTCTAATATAGAACTGAAAAGGTTTTCAATAAGCACGTAAACCGTCCTACACTAAGAGAAAGAGCTTTATAGGCTCAAACAACACATGGAGTCCCACCACTCTCCCCAGTTTTCCGGAAGTATTCCCACTTGTTCACCAGAACAATCTCGTCAAGCAGGGGGCAAAGTGAAAAGTCACTCCCAAATTAACCACTCTCCCCCCTCCACGTTGTGTCATACATATCAGTATGTTCTGAATGGAACAACTGAGAAGAATCAGGTAAAAATCCATAACTTTTGAAT